TACAGAAAGGCTACTAAATGAATAAGATTTGTTAGATCATAATTAATAAACCCAAATAAAGTTAATATTTTTTGTATTAGAAACAATGAGTGGAAAATATATTCAAATCAGAATTCTAATTATGAATCACCACAAGCAAAATATGCAATTTTTTTTACTGTATTCAATAAGTAAAAATCATAAATTGTAAAACTAAATATTCAGAAAGGCTACCTACATTTTTCAACCGATTTCAACAAAACTTCACTTTTTTTTTTGGCATGTAGTGTTTCTTATTGTCTTGCACACTTTTTTCTTTATTTTTACATTCAGAATGCATTAAAAATTCCATTTACAAGACAATTGTTTATAATAAAATTCTATTCAATCGGTAGAGACCGAAAACAATGTTTTTGTTTGAGTTTGGGTTTGATCAATTCGAAAAAAACAAAAAACTAATTAAGACGTGCGTGTCCGTCAACCTTAAACAATAATCTTTGTCAATTTTATTTTTCAGTCTTTATGATGGTGGATACTTGATCTATCTCTTACTGTTATATCCCCGGGCAACACCGGGCTCTCCTGCTAGTACATATATATATATATATATATATATATATATATATATATAATTATTATTTATTAAAAAATTATAACATAAGTATGCTATAAAATCACTACAAAAATAGCCATTTCGTTTCAACACCCTCGGTGTCTTATCAAGGATGATGTTGAAGATAAAAAACAAAAAAAAAACAAACAGTTTCTTAATGTTACGATGAAATTCATCCCTGAAGGTGTCGTAGTTTTTATTAACCCAAGTACTTTCGATCTTTTTTCAAGATCATCTTCAGGGGTAAATGACAAAGACAAATTTATTGTAACTTCGATAAAATCTGCATTCTGTTGTCATGGCGATTTTTAAGAACACGAGCGAACCCGCTATATTAGAGTTATTTAAAAAAATAAATTTATCCATTGTAGTTATATATATATATATATATATATATATATATATATGCAAATCCCATTTATTTTAAATGTTACATATGATTTTAAAAACTTTAATCCCAGTATAATAATATATATTTACACTTACATTACGATAACCAGGGATATTCTTTAAAATTTAAATTATGTAACGGTCAGTCTATATTCAGCACCTGAAGATTGCGCCGTGCATGAACCTCCGAGTCGTGCTATCTCTGAGGGATAATATGTATGTTTATTAATATATATATATATATATATATATATATATATATATATATATATATATATATATATATATATATATATATATATCATTCATAGACAGTACTGTTTCGCTGTATTACAGCTCCTCAGTGCCACTAGACATCCGAATACTTCAAGCCCGGACTTGAAACCCAACCGGTCAGTCAGAGTTTCTACCACTGAGCTATCTTCATTCGAAGAATAACAACATTTTATATCTGGTTTCTGAATACAGGACTGCGTCTTTCTCTCAAATCGCTAATATGGTTACGTGACACTTTGCGTTAGGCGAGTCTTAACATCTTAAGTTGTTTTTCGATAACTGGTTTTTGGTGTATCATCTGGTGATATTCATAAAATTGGTGGTGTGAGTCGAAGTCGTTCTTCAAAAATAAATTGTTCTTGGTTAGAAGTTGAGGTCGTGATTGCGTGGATCTTTCAGTCAGGTTCCTGCGAGGCGGGTCTCAGAGCTCACAGCTCAACTGCAACTAACTTCTCTCTGACTCAACTCTTGCCTGTATGTCGTCTACTCGCTGCGACTCTGCTTATATGGACGCCGACCAAAACCGGGGTGGGCCTGTCGGTGTTTGAGGTTCCTTGGTAATTCTAAATCCACATTAAGTGTTTTCTTTGTTTTCGGTCAGGAAAATTTATTACTTTCCATTTTTGGAAGTCCTTAATTTCTAGTCCTTCCAAATTCTTCCTTTCTCATATTGGTATCTCACACCAATCCCCTCAGAGGGCGTCAACAGGTTCCCCTCTCTCTCACAGTGGCATCTCACACCAATCCCTTCAGGGGGCATCAACAGGCCTCCTCTCCTTCTTCATAGTTTACCTTCGCCTACCGCTCACGCCACCCTTCAGCCAATGAATGCTCAGGAGCGTAGGTGTTTGCAATTATCGCTCAAAGGGAAAAAAATATCTTCCCTTTTTTTTTCTTTTCTTCTTCCCGACAAAACTCCTTACGACTCTTATCTTAACCGAACGTCGTCTGGAACTCGTCAACGAGACCTTTGCCAAACAAGCACTGAGGCTGGTCAATGATCTTCCGCCCCCTGTCGCCAATTATCCGTTCAGATAAAATAATTTTTCGATCATGGCCAGCTCTGACACAAAACAGGTGCTGTTCTCAAATGATATCTCCGCACATAGTTAATGGTTAAATCTTTCCTTCTTTGTACTTTGTGGGTGGTCCAGCGGACATTTTTCTCGGTCAGAGCATGACCTAATTAATTTTTATCTCTTAGCATTCTGCCTTGTAGGCCACTTGACCAACCTGAAATTTTCATTATTGCCATGGGCAGACGGCTATCTTTTATTCACTCTGTCGTAACATAAATCAAATCAAATCCTACAGATCTGCGACCTTACTTTCTTCGCTAATGAAAATAAAATCTTTACCACTTTTCTTTGTTAGAACAAATAACATCGCTCAGTGTCTTTTCGTGATAGCTTCTTATCACCTAAATTAATTCTCGCCTTTTTTTTTTCTCTCGCAACCCTAAATAGTGTCACAAAAAGTTTAACTTTAATTTCGCTTTTCGTCGCAATTAAAATTGATATCGTCTAATTAACCTGCAATTAAAACTTAAGGGTGGATCAGTACGTTCTCATATGTAGTTTTTTTTCTTTTTCTAGCACGCGTACTGTGAAGTATGTGAAATATTACATACTTCGGGTTCCCCAATGTCTTTTAACAGTGGCTTTATGTGAAGGGATCATAAAGAATGGTGATTTTAAAAGAAAATAAAAATTGCGTACACAGTACGGAGATCTGTTGCGTATACGACAAAAGGTTACACCGTATTAAGATGTCGAAAACTAAAGTATCGAAAATAATTTTATTATCTCTAAATACTTATAACATAGTGCGTTGAAGGTAAAAGGCCAAAGGCCCAAAAGACCTCCGTAGAGGCTAGCGGCGGCTTCTAGGTTTGTAAATAAATAAAATATGTACATTTATGAAAAAAAAATTAAGTTAAAAAATGATAAATAAAAGTAACATATAAAATAAACAAGCAAATAACCAGTATATTTAAATAACAATAAGCATTTGCTAATAATATTTAGCGATTATTATTATTTTTGTAATATTCGATATAGTCAGAATTAAATATTCAAATTCCGCTTCAAATTCAAAATCGAAAACATGAAATATACAAATATATTGCATCTATAAGTAATTAATTTAAAAAAAAAAGAAAGTAATCGATAAGTTGAATATATATATTATAAAATATTATAAATTTCCAATAATATATATATATATATATATATATTATTGGAATTTATATATATATATATATATATATATATATATATATATATATATATATATATATATATATATATATAAATAATAATATATATATATATATATATATATTATTGAAATATATATATATATATATATATATATATATATATATACATATATATATATATATAATACTTATAAATTTATATATATATATATATATATATATATATATATAATGTGATCATCCACATTCAAGCCTGTCTCGCTGTATCACAGCTCATCAGTGTGGCTATATATATATATATATATATATATGTGTGTGTGTGTGTGTGTGTGTGTGTGTGTATTTAAATCTAGTGACGTTTATAACGAAAAATGTAGCGTGATAAGAATGTGAAAAATAGAATTAGCTTTCGTTCGTCGCGAAAGTGTATAAATATGACATCTGTTAATAAGTTCATTAGATTTGTCAAATGTCTAGATCTGATGAGCGTTTAGACGCGAAACACATGAATTGACAAATCAGATATGTTACGTGAATTTTTGTTGATTAAATGAATATATCTTGTTTAAAATTTGGTATATCATCGGGTGAAGAATACTCATTGTAGGCAGAAATAGATTGTATGCAAATATAGATATTTTGGACATAGGAATCAACACTGCATGTTGACTGTCAGTTCCACACTTCAATGCGATCTTGAGAGCAGACTAATATGAATTATACAAACAGCACTACACTATCAAAAAATATATGACATCTCCAAAGCTGAAACCAAACGACACCAAAAATAACGTGGAAAATAAGCAAAACAATTTGCTAGAATATATCAGAATGATGTTGCCTTCGTCTAGTGGGGAAAATAGCGACAATTACCTTTCCCCAACAAAACCAAGTCTTAAACAAAAGAAAAGTTCACCTTTCCAAAGATAGACAGAGAACAAATTCCTTCTGCACTACCTACAACCACGTCATAAAGCAATGCTTTATTCTACTAGACTATTGTCTCTTGAATTAGTGGATTGATCATATTTGACTCGTGGAATTGGTGGCATAATAATCATTTGTTCAGTCCCTGATCTGGGTAGTACAGATTCAGGCTCTACAGTAGCAGGAATAGTAAGTCATAATTAAAAAAGAACAAACTGAGATATAACTAGACAAGTACAATTGAACAAAGACAATTTATCTCCATAGATTAAAATGCATCTGAAGAAGTCTCAATGGCCGAAATATTGTGATAATGAAAGAAGGACAAGGATATTAGTCAGAATGTAAATAATGTAAATAATTTATATTTACAATTAAGCGATCATTATAATGAGTTTTTTTTCCGAACTTGTTCAGTGAAAACAACTTCAAATGCAACGTCTTTTCGTATTTTGACATTAAAGCACGGCCTACGACCAAAACTGTTGACAAAACACAAGCGACAAAGAAAAGCAAAAGGAAAACGTATTGCGGATAATGAATGTCTAAAGAAAACGATAATTAGTTTCATGAATAAACAGAGGTTAATTCATATCATATTTTACAAATTGAACCTGCATCTTTGATACTGATTTGAAAATCATTATTGTGATTTTCCTGACTAGTATGAAGATAAAACTTCATATTGTTTTTGGTTATAGATAGATAGGAAGAGACCAAGATAGATAGATAGATAGATAGATAGATAGATAGATAGATAGATAGATAGATCATTAACAAATTATTATAGATAGATAGATAGATAGATAGATAGATAGATAGATAGATAAAATAAAACGAAGACAGATGTATATTCCAATGTGCTCCTCCCGTGAGATAGATAGAGAGGAACAGACCGACGCAGATATATAGATTAAAAGGAAGAGACTTAGATAGATAGATAGATAGATAGATAGATAGATAGATAGATAGATAAAATAAAACGAAGACAGACGAATATTCCAATGTACCGCTCCCGCGAGATAGATAGAGAGAAACAGACTGGCGTATATTCCAATATGTCCCTCCCGTGAGATAGATAGATAGATAGATAGATAGATAGATAGATATAGAACAGACCGAGACCGACAGATAGATAGATAGATAGATAGATAGATAGATAGAATAAACTGAACACAGACGTATATTTCAATGTGTCCCTCTCGTGAGATAACTAGATAAGAACAGATCGTGACAGACAGACAGATAGGTAGATAGATAGATAGAAAGAGAGACAAAGAGAGAAAAAAACAGTCTCAGATAGATAGATAGATAGATAGATAGATAGATAGATAGATAGATAGATAGAGAAAGAGAAAGAGAGAGAAACAGTCTCATATAGATAGATAGATAGATAGATAGATAGATAGATAGATAGATAAAATAAACTGAACGCAGGCGTATATTCCAATGTACCTCCCACCCTCCACACATACACATCGCCATGAGATATGAATCGCACAGATGAAATCGTTGTAATCGTTGTTTTGTAATTTGAATGAAGCCGCATTCCGATTCCGTTTTCTTATTCCTTCCTTAAATATACGAGAATGTCTGCAAAGAGGATTCTTGGTCCTGCTACCAAAATCCTTTCTTTGGTTTATTCCCCAAAACATATAGATTCTTTCTAATTCCTTCTTCTTAGGTCACCGGATCTCTGCAAAAATTCGAAACATTTTCAGTATAGACTCACTTATTTTTTTTCCCTTGTCGACGCTAATAAATTCTTAGACTAAATTTGGAAATTGGTTGGAAAAAATTCCTCAGTTATAAAAACATACATTTCGTTCGACATAATTGTACAGGACATCGTTCAACAAACCTTCTGACGAGTATGATACAATTGGACAATACATAAAGTAACATATTACATAAAATACTTGCATCTGCGACAAAAATCTGATCAATATTCATTTTCAGCCCTGCCATAGTAAGGCTAGAATTTGAACATTCTAGAAATGATTTCCCACCATTTCGATAGATATCTCTCCATTCGGCATTCGAAGTTAAACTTTTAACCTTTGTCACATCTAAAGCAGCAATTTCTTATATAATCTTCGATGAAATGACCTATTTATTATTATTTTCTATTATTCAGTACTTAATTTTCCCATGTCAAAATTAAGGAACACCGTTTAAGATAAATTTGATTGTAGACACACAAGATCAAACCATGTAATTGTTATGATTTGTATATCTCTCTGTGTAGTATCAGTCATAGCACAGGTCTCCGCGTTATGTTTAGCAAACGGGGTTTGTTAAGTAATGCCCTTATGTTCACCAGTTGTTCTCTATTTATGCTTGTCTATCTCATATGCATACGATACTACACCTCCCTGAATCGGAACGGTTGTACACCATTGTTTTTTCTTTTACTATTCTTGATTATTTTCCTCTTGTCTTTCTTCTTTTCTCTTTAATGGGGATCTCGTTCTCTCTTCATTTTCTTCTTCACTCTCGTCCGTCTTTTCACTCTTACTTTCTTCCATTTTCTGCTCTGTTCCACTTTTGTGACATTATGTCTCTTCTTGTTTTTGATCTTCCATTTTCACGTCATCAAATTCGTTTCTGCTTCTGAATTGATCCGCATGTGCCAGTATATTTTGTCCCTTTTTCTCAAGTATAGCCATGTTGTGTCCTTTTTGTATCAGGAAATTGGCTTCTTCTAGATCAGCCTCTTTATTCTTTCTATAGCATACCTTTTCTGTTACAGCAAAGGCCATAGTTATAGGGGTTCTGATTTGTCTTCCCATTAATGCCGAAGGGCTCATTTTTCTTCCCGCATGTGGAATGGATTTGTAACTGAGGAACATTTTTGTTAGATATGCTTCTATGCTTTCATTAAGTGGTGAGAATGCTTTTTAATCCCATTTTTACCGTTTGTACCATTCTTTCTGCAATGCTATTAGATTGTGGGTGATACAGTGGCGTCTTGTATGGAATGCATCCAATCTGTTTTAGACATGCACATAAGTTATCATCGCAAAATTCGGGTGGATTGTCGGTGACTATTGTCTAGGGTACTCCATTTCTTGAGAATATAGTTCTTAGTACCTGCTTTATTGTGGTGGATTTTCTGTATTTTACTCTGACAACCTCTGACCATCCTGAATATGGGTCCACTAATACTAAGAATAAACCCCTATCTTTGAGATGTGCGCGATCCATGTGGGTCCTAACCCATAGCTCTGCTCCCTTGGGCCACGAGTGAATTTTTGCTTTCTTGAAGGTTTTTATTTCCGCATATTTTGGGCATCTCTGAAAGCATTTTTCACGGTCAGTTAGTGTTTCGTTTCTTTAAAGGGTCACTCTGCCATCGAACAATTAATCCATACATTATTTTTTATTCATACATTATTTTTGTACTGCTTAATATTAGGTCTTGCTTAGTTTTTATTTTGAATCTATTTAGAGGAAGAACGTCCGTTTCTACCCAGTGAATTATCTTTTCTTCAGCATTTTCCTGTTTTTCTTCATTTTCATTCTTGAACTGTAATCTTGATAAAGCATCTACTTGAAGGATAGTGTTCCCTTTCACGTATACTATGTCAAAATCGAATGCCATGATCTTTATCGCCCATCTTAAAATCCTTGACGATGTGACATTTGGCAATTCTTTTCTTGGATTAAATATGAATTCCAATGATTTGTGGTCCGATTTTAATAAGAATTTTTTCCTATCAAAAAGTTTCGTGCCTTTTTCACGCTCTATACAATCGTTAGTGCTTCTTTTTCAATATTCGAGTAGTTTATTTCTGCTAATGTTAACCTTCTTGATATGTACATGATCGGGTGTTCTTGTGATAGAATTCCATGGAATTGATTAATCTCGCTGTATCTACTTTTAATACATCAATTCCTAGTAATCCATAATATTTTTTTGCATTCTACAACTGTAATGGGAATTACTTGAAAACCCTTGTTAATTTCAAAATTACCTTGAAATGGACCCATTATTTTTATAGCCGTTCCATCAAATTGCTTTAATTGGATATTGGCATTTAGGTCGTCCTAATTTTATTCAGAAATTCTTTGGTATCAACGTGACTTCACTGCCTGTATCAACTTGCATGTTAAATATTTGGTCATTTATCTTTTTTTTTCTGTACTTCTCTTCCGCAATTCATCGCAAATATTTCCGCTTGTTCTTCGGAGTGGGGGGGAGTTGTATCTTATGTACCCTTTCTATTTTCTTTTCGTATTTGCATACGCTCTGAAAATGATCTCTTTTTTGCAATTTGAGCATATTTTTCCTAGAGCTGAACATTTGTACTTGTTTCACTCGTGATTTTTTCCACAATATCAACAATTAATTATGGATTTGGTCGTGTTCATCCTGTGCGTCTCGAATACTTCTTTTGGTTGATTAAATTCTCTAATCAATTGTTGTAAAAACTCGACGCTAGCTTCCAGACTCATGCTACTACTCTGTAGACATTTCAGTATTTTTCGTTTGTGGTTTTGGTCTTGCAAGCCTTCAAATATTAGAGAAGGGTTAATTCGTCTTCTATAGTCATTTTCTGAGCGCCCAACTTTTCAAATTCACAATACTTGGCTCGTTCTTTCAATCTATGTAAGTATTGTATAATGGACCCATTGGGTACTTGTCTTGTTTCCAAAAACTTGGTCCTTTCCGCAATGACCAATCTTTTCTTTGGTCTTATGTTCTTTTTATAATTTTAACAATTACTTCAAATGTCATTTCTTCTAATTCGCTCGGGTAACACATTGTCGAAATTTTCTTCACAGCTTTGTACCCAGCTATCTCATTATCTCCTTCAATGGTCTTTGTGTTTCTTAATTTCATCACTTGCAATTGCAGCAAAAGTTCTTATCCATGTTTCTATGTGTTCTGGATCATCTAGCGCATTTAAGGATCCTATTGGCGACGCCATTGTTACGTTTGATATATCTCTCTGCGTAGATTTATCGATTGTCAATTTTAAAAATGTGAAACTGTCTTCTGGTTGAAGCTTCAATGGATACGAATGTTGTTGGGATATCTCTATCTTTCCCTGGGGACCTAATGTTCCGAATGTGCGTGTTGTTTTTGATATCCAAAATAAGGGGTCAATCATCAAAGGTTTCCATATTCTGATGCTTCCATAAATGTTACAATCCGAAATAACTCTAAGAATCTTTACATTTCGATCGATTTCAAATTGTAATTTCAATATGCCGCCTACAATACACTATTTGCTACCCGCCTCGCCACTGCAGCATGACACTCCAGCGGGCAGCGAATTGATGTTTTCTGGAGCAAATAAAATTCTTGTGGCATTAAAGTTTTTTGGTAGACGTCGCAAACGATTACTGAATAATCGTGAACAAAAAAGTTCTTTTTTATTATAAATTTTACGAAAAACGTTTGGACCATCGAACCAATTTAAAGCATTGAAGATGAAGGAAATATTGAAAGACAGTTTTTAAATAATCAATATGGGATTGCTACACAAAAGATATGTGTAACATATATATATATATATATATATATATATATGTATATATATATATATATATATATGTATATGCTCGTTCATATAATGCTAGATATATAAATGATAAAGGATAATGGGATTATACAGAAACATACGCACGTACCCACGCACATACATGCACCCACACACATATATATATACCACACACATATATATACATGCATATATATATATATATATATATATATATATATATAAATATATGTGTCCATAAATTTCATCAACACTTAAAAAAATTTATAACTTTAAAATGCACACGATCTTTATGGACACACTGTATATATATATATATATATATATATATATATATATATATATATATATATATATATATATGTTTATATATAGGTTTGTAGTGAACTATGGTGTTTGCTGTGTTCTTGGATTAGAAACACGTGTATTTCCTGCTAGAAGAAGGCCTAACTACAAGAAAATGGCGGACTCAAATTGAGTCCAACCGAAGATGTAAAAAAAAAAACAAACAAGATAGATATATATATGTCAATAAATACATGTATTAAACAGCAATTTTACAAGTAACAAAGACATTAACATTGTGTGTGGACGTAAAGAGTTTGTATTTTGGTGAATGTCAGTACGTACGTGTATGTGTGTTTCCTGGCGTTTTTCCACAAGTGCGAGAAACGCAGATTTCTACGAGAGATTACATTTTTAAATGTTTGCGCTGAAATGCTAAGTGAAAAAGAGAAGGAGGTAAGAAGTTGACCAGTATTTATAGAGTAAGGAGAGTGACCCCGAGTACATAATGTGGGAATTAAGGAGCTAACTTAGCAGGTTGATCAATAAGTTTGTAGGCTGCCAGTATTATAGGTTCCATTGTATAAAGCTCGTTGGATTATGTGCATTGACAAAGAGGGATATTATGTTAAATAATATATTTTTAGATGACACTTCTTGAGAAAGAAAATAAAAGGACCAGGAGAAGGGGATTTCTTATCACAGATTCTCATATTTATTTCAGGATACATGCACCTCCGGTGGGTCATCATGA